CATTGGTATTTACTGTGTAAGTATTATTACGGATTATACAGATAAAATTCTTGCATTGTAAGAAATGTAATTTAATTGTCGACTACATTTTATTTTTTATATCTTATTCTATATTATTACGCATAAGATTACTTATGTTTAGTTTTTATTTCTTATTATAACTCATTCGATTTTTGTTTCATTTAGCTTTCGTAAACGAAGACCTATGGTTTTTTCTTTACTTGGCTTTAAAATATATTGCTAGTAGTTTACAAGTGCGAATTAACAAGATCAAAATTTATATTTTATTTGGATGTACAACGAAATAACCGTTTATGTTTAGTCTTAATTTTATTTTCCGTTTATTTCGATTGTTTTCAGTTTTCTTTGAATATTTCCTTTTGTGCGTCTGTTATTTTATTTTATTTATATATATTTTTAATTCAATGTAATTGCACTATTTATTGTTATGATTTATTGTTATTGTTATGCAAAAACTATATTATAAGAATAATTAAGTTCAACAACTCACGGTTAACTTTTAATCAAGGTTCACTTATTCCTCATCTCTCCAATTCTTAAATTGGAAAGAGATAAGAAATAAGTTAAACGTCAATTAAGAGTTAACTGTGAAATTGGGAGTAAGAGTCTCTTTCACCAACCTCGGTTAAGCTAATCGATATTTACATGATTGTGAAGATTATAAATAGAAATTTCATCACGTCGAATCCATAATTTGTATATACATACCGTTCAATATTATATTGTATTGCATCTTGAATTCTTTTTAACAATATTGTATAATTATGTTTACATAATATAAATCTCCTTTTGAAATCTATTTCATCGAATATTTTAATGTAGTTTATACGCAGTTTAATTATACGCGGTTTTCTTTGACGTTTTTCAAGATTATATAACCTTTTTTTAAAAAAAGAAAAAAACATACGCCAAGTGCATATAAAAGATACTGAACTTCTTGATCAAAAACAGATATGAGATAAATATAATTGACCAAGTGTATTCTTCATTACGCCAGTCACATAAGACAGACCGAAAGTGACTATAATTGTCAACTGGATTATAGTGAAGAAAAAACTTGGCGTGCCCGGGTCGCATTAATTGTAAACAGTATTCAGTGAAAACATTATTTCAACATAGTATTTGCATTATAAATTAAAATATAAAAATAACAGACATATGTATACAGATATATACGTATAATATATACGTATAATATACACGTATAATATAGTGATATAATTAGTATCATCATTCACTATATAGTGATATAATTTGTGGGACATGAAAATATATTCACAACTAAGTATTATAATATGTTCAGTAAGCAATTATTAACATCTTTTCTTTGTTGAATTGTTTTCGCATATATTGTGTATACTGCAGAATATTGCGATAGAACCAAGGTTCTAGAATATTGCGTTTTAATGCGACCCGGGCACGCCAAGTTTTTTCTTCACTATAATCCAGTTGACAATTATAGTCACTTTCGGTCTGTCTTATGTGACTGGCGTAATGAAGAATACACTTGGTCAATTATATTTATCTCATATCTGTTTTTGATCAAGAAGTTCAGTATCTTTTATATGCACTTGGCGTATGTTTTTTTCTTTTTTTAAAAAAAGGTTTTTTTATGGGATTTCACTGCTTTTTGTTAATTATGAAAACGTGATAATAATGTAGGAAATTTAAATCCTCTAAAAATAAATACAGATTCTGTTTCTAAAATAGTTATTTTGTAAATTTCTATTTATTTAATATTAAAGATGTACTCGTATTGTATTTATTGACACTTAATTATACTTAAGTTTATTTGTACTTAATTTAGATTTGTTCTAAGAAAAATATATACGCGCTCTTTGCATTTCGTGGCCACTTACATACTTCAACTTTTAAATCATTTATGGATGTCCATTTTGTACCTTTAGCTCGCAATAAATTTGTGTAATGTCCTTCGTCTATATTTTTACCATGATGAAGAATCGCACTATTAACTTTATAAATATTATCACCGATATAAATTTTTGACGAAGGTATGGATTTAATATTAAGATTTGTAATCTTTATAACTTCTTCATTATTAACTTTAAATAATAATAATTGAATAATAAGTACACGTTTGGTCGTTGTTATACTAGTCTTTTCAAGTAAAGCAGTTGAATTACAATTACATGTATGTGTTACACGTACGATTGAAAAATACATGTATGTGTCACACGTACGTCTGAACATAACTGAAACGTACCCTTTTCGGGACTCGGTCTCTAGATCTCGATATCGGCTGCACCAATTTTATTCGGACTGGTCGCAATCGAAAGATACCGATGACATTATATAATAAAAGTGTTTTTAGATTTTTGATTGTGCTTTTAAATTCTGAGTAATTTTAATCTAAAGTTTCAAGATGCGAAAACTCGAGATAAAGCTAGTGGTAGCGTCGTGAATTTGACATCGACATGAACATATACACGCATCAAGTATCATGTCATCATGTCAAACGGTTATATTTTTATTTTATGCACTTGGCGTCGCGACGCTACCGCGTCGCTTGATCATATTCATCAAAAATAAAAAAATTATTAATTTTATCCGTTTTTAATATAAAGTACAAATAGAAATTGGTTGGTGAAAGAGACACTAAAGTGAAATAGGCCTATTGGGGATACCACTATTAAAAAAACGCATTATTGCACTCTACCTCCAGAGTAACGTGGAAAAGTGTGCATTTTTGCAGTTCTCGAATATTTAATAAAACTCATGTATTCGTTAATAAAAAAAAGTATACAAAAATAAATTAAATAATTTTTACACTTCATTGCTTATTTTGTTATTTATTGTATATACTCTGTTGTGTTTATTTTGTTTCCCCAAATTTCAGATTTTAATGCGCCAAAATATGTCTATAATTACTCAATCTATATTAGACTTATATTAACTTCCATTGAATTTTTCTAACTTGTGAAAAATATGAAATATGTATTTTTTTTTCATAAGTTAGAACCCATGTAGCAAACTGACATTATTTGTCGTCATTTTGATATCAAAATGACGCCTTCAACGTTCTTTTGATGTCAAAATGATGGCAAATAACGTCAGCTTGCTCTCTAGCTGGGAAAGTGTATGGTTTAATGTATATATATATATATATATATAAAGTATATTAGTTCTCTGCCAGATCACTTGAGGCGCTTCGATCGTTCTCCGTTTCCATCACTCATCACGGAGCTTGCGCTTCTCTTTGGTATATGTTCTGTGGACATCTCGGTAGAAAAGGACACTCATTAGTACGTGCGACAAAGATGCGACTAAGTTCAGGTTCAGTAACTCTTCAACGTTAAATATTGTTGGCAGCCGTGCGGAACCTGAAGCAGTTTGCTGTGAAAAGGGGCGTGGTTTAGCCGATCTGAACACACCATGGGTGCGTTCGGGGAGACACTATTCGCGCTATTTAGCACTACAAACTGTTCGCGGAGCTGCAGATAGCGCTAACAAACACGATCGTGATGTCACTAATAGTAGGGTGTTACGTCACAACTGCGCGCTATCAACGCTATTCCTTCCGAGGTAGTGTATTGGTAGCGTTAGTGTTTGCAAGCTGTGAACAGCATTGTTGTGTTTGGTCGAATGGTTCAAGAATACACAAGCCATCAATTGCAGAGATTGAAATTGAGATTAATTGATGATGATGATGATGATGATGATGATGACGATGATGATGAGAGGTTTCACTTTTGGTCTACTACAATCTTCTAGGTTGATGTCCCTAGAGTCACTTTTTCTCGCGGCTACGAGGGTCAGGACTCCCCGCACCAATTTCTTCCAACATAGGTACTTCGTACAAATCGTTAGGCCGGAATCAGACTACGCATTGAAAATTGAGATTGAAGATTGAAAATTGAAATTTGACCAATGAGGATAAAGAAATTTTAACTCCTATTATTTTGATTAGCCAAAATTAAATCTTCAATCTCAATCTTCAATGCGTAGTCTGATTCTGGCTTAAAGTAATGCTCAATTGTCCCAGATCAACGATTATAACCTAATCGGTCGTACATACCAGCGTATGAAATTTCGGAGGTTAGTTTTCAATTTTACTGGCGTTCCCAATCCTTCATATTAAACGCTACCAACGATACGCAGGATCGTTCGCGGAGCTTGCAAACGCTATCGCGCTATTGGCTCTACGAACAGCGTTGGTAGCGTTTGCGTTCATAGCGTGAATAGCGTCTCCCCGAACACACCCCATGTAATCCTTCCACCATGCTTTACGTGGACGCTGTTGGGAGGGGGGGTGTATGTTGAGGGGTGGGGGAAGGAGTACTTCTTTGGCCTGCACCTGTCGAGAGGACAGTCTTCCATATCCTGCTTACATTATAGCCTGAGTCTCTGTTTAAATTGTCTGGATGTTTCTGTATTTCCAAGGCCTCTCTGTGCTTCCTCGGGAAATATGATGTTGTTGCGGCAATAGTTGACGTTTTATCGAATAGTATTCGATGTCCTGTCTCTTGTCTATGTATCAGCTGCTATGTATCAGATGAAGTGAACGATATGGTTCACGAAACGTTGGCATTAATAATAAAGAAAGACACGGCAATAACTCGCAAACCTTCTGGTATATATATATATATAACAGTAAACTTAATTTACTTAATTTAAAAACAATAACTTAATTTATGGTTAATTGATTAAGGAACTTATTTATCCTAATCATTTTGAAAAAAGGAATATAATTTTGTAAAATAGAATAAATAGAAAATGCAATACTTTAAATTTTAATTTTTTGTAAAATTATTTTTTTTAATTCTGAAAAAAAAAATAAAATGATATATCAAAATAACGCTTTAAATCATACTTTATTTAATTTCAATTTAATTTCAATAATCTGCAGATTATAAACAATCGAAGAAGATGTACCATATATGGAAGTGACTGTTTTAAATATTGAAACAACAGGTAAGCTAAGCTATAATCGTAATGAAATGTAATAGTGTTGCACTTACCCGGAGAAGTAGAAGAACGATTATGCAGACAATTCCTAACGTGGTATCCCAACGTCTTGTCTCGCCAATATGCTCGAAAATATTTTGCCAGACCTGTACAAATTTAGTGCCGGAAACTTTAAGTCCAAGAATATCTTTTACTTGACTGGTGGCGATAATAATCGACGCCGCCGACGTGAAACCAACGGATACTGGTCCAGATATAAAATCCAATAAGAATCCTAATATCATCAAAAGAGTAAAAAATAATTAGACAAGCCATATATTGTTATAAAAATATATTATAACGATATATAAAATAATATACATTAAATATGTATATTATTATATATATTAGTGTACAAATAAGTTTTAAAACGTTTTTAATGAAATTTAATATTTATTTATTTAGTAATGAAAACACACTTAATTATCAAAATAATTTCTGTCATTATTTATGACTTTTAGCCATCATACGGGTTACTTGCGAATTCCAGAAGAAAAGGTTTCGTCTTTTAATGTAATAAAATTATCCACACATTTTCGCACTTTTTTAAATGCTCGAAAGTGTACACCGGACAAGGCGTTTTGCATTGACCGGAATAAATGATAGTCTGAAGGAGCTATGCCTGGGCTATACGCCGGGTGTAGTAAAATTTCCCAACTAAGCGCTAGCAACGTTTCCTTTACAGTTTATCAACATGATACCTAACGTTGTCATGAAACAATTTCATGAAATAGTTTTTCTTTGTCAGTAAATGGACAATTTCGTTTGATTTCTTGATTTAAACGGATCAATTGTTGACTGTAGCGATCACTATTAACCGTTTCATTCAGACGGAGCAGCTCAAAATATAGCACACCCTTCATGTCCCACTAGATGCATAGCATAACTTGCTGCTGTGGATGTTGCGTTTTGGCATTGATGTAATGGGTTGTCCTGGATCCACATAATGTTATTTCTTTTTAGGATTACCGTAAAAAATCCACTTTTCATCACCAGTCACGATTTTCCACAAGAAAGATTTGCTATGCTGTTTATTGTACAGATTCAAACATTGCTCAAGACGATCATTTTTGTTTTCTTCACTTAATACATGCGATACCTACTTTCCTTCCTTCAGAATCTTTCCCATCTGCCGTAAACGAATTGAAATATCTTGTTAAGTTACTTCAAGTTGCTGTACAAGTTCTTTTTGTGTTTGACATGAGTTTTGATCGAGTATGTAATGCTCAGTAGTTTTTTTCCGTAAGGGTAATGCTTGTAATTGATCGTCTGTAACCTTCTGAGGAGCACCAGTACGTTCTGTATCACTAACATCAAAATCGTCCTCTTTAAGTCGCTTAAACCAAAACTCACACATACTTTTGGTTACAACATTATCTCCAAGAACAAAACAAATTGATTCATATGCTTTTGTAGAACTTTTTCCTTGATAAAATTCGCATGGAATGCAGTGTTGAATAAATTGCTTGTCGCCCACCATTTTAAAACCATTTAATTTTGAGATTAAGTTTCCAATTGTGTGAAGTCAATTGTTTTTTTTTAATAGTACGCATTAAGCGCCACTATATATCAAAAGGGCGCGAAAATATTTGAATTCTTAGTTTAAATTATATGTTACACAAAAAACGCTTTAAAACTTATTTGTACACTTAATAATTATATATATTATTCTAAATATATAGATTAAATAAAAAGATGATATAAAAATTAAATAAAAATACAAGGGTCGTCTAAAAGTCTAACATAGAAACAAGTAATTTTTCGGTCAAATTCAATTTTATTTTTCCACACAATCTCCTTTTAAGTCGATACATTTTTTCCAGCGATGCTCCCACCCTTTTAATTCATTCAAATAATACTGAGCGTCTTGTTTTGCAAAATAGGCGTTTACAGATGCAATGACCTCCTCGTTCGATGAAAATTTCTGTCCTCCGAGCCAAACTTTAAACCTAGGAAACAGAAAAAAGTCGCTAGAGGCCAGATCTGGTGAATACGGTGGATGGTCAATTAATTCGAACAGCAATTCATGAATTTTTGCCATAGCGATCGCCGAAACGTAAGACGGTGCGTTATCTTGATGGAACAGCACTTTCTTCTTTTTTAAATGCGGTCGTTTTTTCTCAATTTCTGCCTTCAGTTTGTCAAGTAATGATGCGTAGTATATCCCTGTTATTGTTTAACCTTTTTCAAGATATTCGATCAACACAATTCTATGGTCCCAAAAAACAGTCGCCATCACCTTTCCCGCCGATAAAAATCGTCTTCGCTTTCTTCGGAGCAAGTTCACCCTTCGCAGTCCACTGTTTTGATTGTTCTTTCGTTTCAAGAGTGAAGTAGTGGACCCAAGTTTCATCAACCGTTATTAATCGACGTAAAAAGTCCGACTCGTTTCGCTTAAACCGCTCCAACAGGGCCTTAGAAATGTTCATTCGAATGCGTTTTTGATCCAGAGCAAGCGCGGCATCCAACGCGCGGTTAACGACGCTCAGTATTATTTGAATGGATTGAAGGAGTGGGAGCATCGCTGGAAAAAATATATCGACTTAAAAGGAGACTATGTGGAAAAATAAAATTGAATTTGACCGAAAAATTACTTGTTTCTACGTTAGGCTTAAAACTTTTCAGACAACCCTCGTATATTGTTCAATGAAGATCGTTAATTTTCAAAATAATCATAAATGCGATAATTTCAAATTAGATCAATTTCATTCTTTATAATTTTTATAATATTACCTAATTGCAAAGTGCCCATTAATAAGGAGACGCAACCTGAGATGAAACATAGTAATATAGCAAAATCAGGTCCTAGATGGGCTTTTTGTAAGGTTTCTCTCGTTAGAATCGCGGCGATTGCTGTTGGTCCGACAGGCACGTCTTTCCAAGAGCCAAAAATTGTGTACACAAAACAGGCCATGAAAGATGAATAAAGTCCATACTGTCCAAACAAACTATCTTTTAATATTAATAATATTGATATTTTTTAAAAAATAATATACTATAAGAATTTTGTTAGATGAATTATATTTTCTCGTAAAATATGAAACTTTTTTTGTTCAAACCTTTTTTGAAATATTTTTCTAAAATAAAAAATAATAGGAAAATAAAGAGAGATATTTCAGACAAAATATAAAAATAGTTCACTCACTATATAATATATGGTTAGAGTTTCCTATATATAGATAAACATCAGATTCAGTCAATGTTTATATATTTTAGATATTTATAAATTGAAGTTGTATGTGGCATATTTCTGAAAAGGTGAAACCTTTATGGTCATAAAAGACCACCAACTAACGACTAATTTTTGGATTAAGCATCGTTTCGTATTATATGTGTGTATTTATAGTATTATACGTTTTATAGTATTATATGGTAACTCATACATGCATATGAAATTTTTTAAAAAAATGAAAGAATTTTACAAACGTAAAATTTATGTACAATAAATAATTATATTTTATTAAACATAACATTTTTGATATTAAAACAAAGTAATGAAAAAATTAAATTTTATAACAGAATTAGTTGTTTTATTTTTGCTTCAATTTTCTATTATCATTGCTTTTGCAAAAATATAATATGTTTTATCTATAACATAGATATTATGTCGAACGTTTCGATCCTACGTTTCGGATCATCATCAGCGACAATACAATATAAAATTAAACATTACTCAGAGTTGCAAACAATGATGTTGTTCCGCAGTATGTAATATACAACCAATCTGAGGCAAGACTATCACTTCTTCAGGTGAAAGTATGTACATTAGTTCGAATAATTGAGTATGTCTCAAGTTGGTCGACAAAAGACATAAAATCAATTATATCACAGAAATCGCATTGATCAAATTTCATCGTCAATATGTCTGTATATGACGATGTACAACGATATAATCTCTTAATAGCCTTTGTATTTACTTAATTTTTTGTATTGTTTTTGAAACATATAAGAGTCTATAATTCAATTATATTATTAATTTATTAATTTTTTATAATATGTTTAAATTGTAAAATATTTCTCATAATATTTTTTACTTAATATTATTTTGTATTTACCTGTAACGGTAATCCCGCAACGTTAGCGTACGCTATGGCTTGTGGTATAACAGTGAGGCCTACGGTGATACCAGCTACTAAATCGCTTACTACATATTCCTTCCGGTAATTCGGCAACCACGTTAAGATAGGTATTCTCTTGAAAAGCAGCTTCTGCCTGCAAGACCTTCTAACTCGTCGATAAAGCCACTTTCTTCCGGAAGTATATAGAGCACTCGTGTCAGAATTTTGTGATACTAAAAATAGAAAAATCAATCTCGTTAGTATAATACGTAATTCATGTAAAGGACCAAACAAATTCAATCACTTACCTATATAAATATATGTTTGTAATAAAAATTATGACAAAAATACATATAAAACGATTTAAAAATCGTGTCTTTTAGTCAATTAATACTAAAGAAATATTTATAAAGATTTAATTGCCGCACACAAAGAAACCAAAATTTTTTTCAAAAATTAAAGAATTTAGGCAGAAAATACATTTTTTTGATAGATATTATATTTATTTTGCACAAATTTATACATATATTTCACTCAAAGTTGTAATATTTAGTAGCTACTACACAAATATCATCGTAGTTAAAATATTTTTGAGCTTATTAAGATTTTATGATATTTAAAAAATGCAAAATGAATCAAATATTTTTGAGCTTATTAAGATTTTATGATATTTAAAAAATGCGAAATGGATGTGTATGTACTGCAACCGTACTCACGAGGGACGGGTCAACTTCATCGCTTTTCTTACTCGCAATTATTCTCAATTACTCTCAAAGTTGGGCACCATGCACGAGAGAGCGTGCCACTTCTCGATACTCTATAATAATTCTCCCAAAATCTAAATACTCTAAATCTCACTAACGTTACTCTGAGTATTACTGTCCTACAGTAATACTCAGTAGTGTAGTCGAGCCCTGGCGGGGCCTGGCGGCACACAGTGGGATGGACTATGGAGGCTTCCAAAAGTTAAAATTGTGAATCTTATAAAAAAGTGATTTAACGTATTTCCTGAAATACATATGATATAAATTTATGAAATTTGAATCGTAATAATAGAAACCAACAAATTTAAACCTTTGAAAACTAACCGCAAAAATTTAATCCTTCCTAAATTAAAACGATTACCTAACCACAAAATAGAAAACCCAATAAATTTCAACCTTTGAAAATTATCCCCAAAAATTTGAACTTTTCTAAATTAAAATGATTATCTAATAATGTAACATAATAATTTAAACCTTTAATACTTTAAATGATATTATCTAATATAATATATGATATATTACTAAATGTGCCAGTTCAAAGTGAACATACATTATGTTATTTTCTATGTTATGTACCACGAAAAATAAGGACAATGAGAGTCAATTCGTAAGTAAACAAGAAAGCGATTATAACATAAAAATTATAATATGAATTTTCAAAGAAAAAGAATACAAACAAAATACTTAGCCGCTTTAGACACAATTAAAAATTAGAATATCGGTCAATATATAATAGTATAAAAAATCGCTTGATGTGAAATATCGTTACAAGTTTCGACTCTTGGTTTGAGTCCTCTTTAGACGTTCATCAAAAATTCCTTATTCCAATATAATTCAGACAACAAATTTCTTACTGACTCCTCGATTTCTCTCTTCGTTACACAACATTGACAATACAAGATGGCAAAGTCATATATTGAAACAATGTATCTATAACTTGGCATGAGAACAAAATCAAAAAATGTGAAAATAATGAAATTCAAAAAACAAAAAAAAGGAAGAAAAAGTCTAACTCACCAGCGAAAACGATTTGTCAGTTTACAATATGAAAGTTAAATAAAATAGAAGAAGTCATAGAGTAAAATGAACAACAAGGTAATAATACTAAACATTTTCACAAAACTTATTGTATAAAATATGCAAAGTAAAACGAATGCAAGGAAGTGTACTAAATCCTTTAACTGTCTTGCAAGTACTGTGATATAACAACAACAAAGCAGTGTGTCGATTGTCGATAACAAAAGATTAAACCTTATTTACAATGGGAATATATGAATCGTGAAGACCTTCAGTGTCCGTTTGTAAATTAAGACTATTTTTCTGCTTTTTAATGTTAAGCATCTCAGATATTATTCGCTTTCTATAATTAGGTTCTTCATCTAAAATTTTAACATCTTCCCATTGAAAGTCATGATCATATTGCAATCTGTGATCCGTAATAACCGAACGGTTAGAAGTATTATGTCTAATATGGCTACGGTGTTCATTAATTCTGGTTTTCAACTGCCTTCCAGTATTTCACATCGAGCGATTTTTTATACTATTATATATTGACCGATATTCTAATTTTTAATTGTGTCTAAAGCGGCTAAGTATTTTGTTTGTATTCTTTTTCTTTGAAAATTCATATTATAATTTTTATGTTATAATCGCTTTCTTGTTTACTTATGAATTGACTCTCATTGTCCTTTACCTCGTTTTAATTATTATTTTCATATAAAGAGTCATTCAACTTTAATTTTAATTATCTAATATAATATATTACCACGAAAAGTAACTGATATATTACTAAATCTACCAGTTCAAAGTGAACGTACATATAACGAATATTTTCTATGTTGAATATGTAACTAATAGATCATTCAAGGTGCAAATTCAAAATGAACATACATACATATAAGTAAAACAGATTACAATTTGCATATTACAGTTAATGCTTTGCAACATAAACTTATACGTGAGCGTTTCTGATTTTGGTAACTATACATATATCGTGCTATATACAATTAGAAGTTTTAATGAGAATGGAATATCGAATTAAAAAAGAACAATTAGTTACGATCCTATTACAATTTGATAAAGATCTTAACGCATTAGCAGTGCAGTTGAAAAATAAATTTGCGTTGTCAAATGACTATGTACAATTAATAAAAGATAAACTTGAAAATTTTCACAAACTCTTTTTGCGAAGATGGAAGGAGAGTAAATTTTCTAAGAGAAATTTTTTTACCAAGCATACAGCATGGCTTCAAGAAGAATTCTCAAAGTGGATCCTGCTGCTTCTTTTAGCAGACCGACTTTATATTCTGTAGGTAGACCTACAATTAATTTTGAAGATTGTTCTATTAGTAGTAAGAGACGCAAAGCTCTAGATCTGATTGAAGAGCATGTCATGAAAAAAATAAACTATGCATATAATATGAAGGCAAAAACTGCAACAAACGCAAAATCAGAAATACCCTTGAATTCCGAAGAAGCTTTGGCGCTCCTGGTTGATTTAGATCTTTCTAAAGAGCAATACTTGAAATTACGACAGATTGCAATCGCACATAATAGTTCGTTATTTCCTCCATATAGTAAGGTATATACATATAAGAAGAAATGTTACCTTGAAAATATACAAGTCGACGAAACTGGAGCTAGTGTAGAATTACAATCCCTTGTAGATCATACTGTATCGAGAATTCTTTCTTTGAAAGAAAGTATATTACTAACTTTGCCTGAGAATCAATTGATGATGACTTGGAAATGGGGTTGTGATGGTTCATCGGGCCAGGCAGAATATAAACAAGCATTTAATGTCGCTGATGTTTCTGATTCTGATCTATTTGTTATATCAGCGGTACCTTTGAAATTTCAAAGGTACCGTATTTCAAGAAATGATACAGTTATATGGAAAAATCCACTACCTTCGTTAGTAAGATACTGCAGACCAATCAAATTCGAATTTTCCAAAGAATCATATGAAAAAATAGTTACTGAAGTAGGAAATATGAAATTAAAAATTTTGCAACTTTCAGAAACAATTTATAAAACTATCTTGGATCAAAATTTTTCAATTAAACATGTTTTTCTTCTTATAATGATTGATGGCAAAGTAGCCCAGGCAATCACATCTACTCCATCTGCCGCAACTTGTATCATCTGTCAAGCAAAACCTACAAAAATGAATGATTTAACGTGAATAATGAAAAAAAATATTTATGATAAAAATTATGAATTTGGTTTGTCGACTTTGCATGCCTGGATAAGAACTATGGAATGTGTACTCCATATTGCATATAATTTGTCTTTTCGGAAATGGATGGCAAAAGGAATCAAAGAAAAGAAACAAAAAGCAGCAGAAAAACAGCGTATTCAAAATGAATTTCGACAATTAGGTTTAATAATAGATGTTCTCAGACAAGGTTCTGGAACTTCTAATGACGGTAATACCGCAAGACAATTTTTTTCTGATCCAGAAGTTACTTCTCGCATAACAAAGATCGACAAACGATTAATTGAACGATTTTCGGTGATACTCCAAGTCCTATCAAGTGGAAAGTGTATCGATACAAAAAAATTTGATGCATACGCATTAGACACATTCAAATTATATGTTGAGTTATATGGATGGTATTACATGTCATCATCATTACATAAAATTTTAATTCATGGCTCAGCAATAATTGAATCGTTATCATTTCCAATCGGTCAACTATCGGAAGAAGCTCTGGAAGCAAGACATAACAATTACAGAAGCATACACCTACATCACTCAAGAAAACGATCAAGAATTGCTACAAATGAAGACGTCATACATATGCTCCTCATTACTTCAGACCCAATAGTATCAGAAAAAAGGAAAATTTTGTCAAAGAAGAAACTCGATTTTCATCCCGATGTATTTAATCTTTTGTTGGATTAGAGGTACATGTATATTAGTAAAATATCAATATTTTGATGTATATAGAAAAAACCTTATAGTTGTCACAATCGTACTACAGTTCTTATAAATAGCATTGATGGGCGAAAAATATTATTATTTTAAGTTGTGGCAACAATAACGTACTTTTTGTGCAATTATATTTATTGTTATTCGATAATAAGAATGATAATTATAACGAATAATTAATAATAAATCGAATATTTAAGAAGCTTACATTTAGTTATTAAAAAATTAGTTATATAAATATTTGTTGCACAAAAAGCTATCATAAAATAAAATACATGTACGTATGTGTGTAAAAATCAAAGAATAACTATTTAGGAACACAAAAATAATTATTGCATATTCTTAACTATTCTATTTACAGAGATATTAATTTTGGAAAAAAAAGTAGCTATCTCATCCCACTGTGCGGCGCCAGGGTACTTTTTTCGGAAGCCAAGCTTGGTGCTGTGACGCCAAAGTTCTTTCTATAATTACCTATTTAAAACGAATTTTTTTTGTTTGTGTAATAAGACGGTAAGAAGAAAAAGAAGCATTTAAATATTTACTGAAACCTGAATTTCGACATAACAACATGGCAGTACAACATGGAGCAATCGAACCTTTTAGATAAAGTTTATGGCCCGTATTCAAAACGCGATAACAACGATATTAGCGCGCTAACATGTTATAGTTTACTTCACGTATACTATAGAATTTTAGAGATAAAAGCGCGCTTTTATCGATAAAAGTGCGTTCTGAATACGGGCCCAAATGTATTATATACTGTGATTGGACGCTTTACTATAACCAATGGCTAACCATTGGTTAGCCATTCTCTCCATTTTATTTCCTCTCGTCCCAATCCATACGACGAACCTCACGGCACGATTTGTATGTACCTTTTTTTTTTGGTACCTCCTTTCGCCATATATGGATTAATGTTTCAAAGCCGTGGCAATCGTACGCTCAAAGCATCCGCCGAGTTCCGACGAACCATCCGACTGTTACGGACGCGTTTCGGTTCGGATGCTCTTCATTGTATATTTTTGAAAGTGGTGCCGACTTTGATTGTGCATTGTATCACACAGATGCGTGTCCGCGGTTGAGCTC